GAACCCATCCAGGCTGGGGGTGTGACATGTGGGGACACCCGTGTCCCCACCATGATTTACCTGGGACCGGCGGAGAAGGGGATGAAGGCCAATGGGGACCGTCCCTTGCTGTTCTCCGGGCTGAACCTCAGTGGGTTGTAGACCTAGAGTGACATAGACACCGTCACGCCGTGGGGACATGGTTGTCCCTGCCCATGGTGACAAGGACGTCCTACTGTCCCATCATCATGCCACCAGGGCCAAGTGGCTCTACCTGGGGCTCCGGCCAGATGTCCGGGTTGTGGTGGGTCCCATAGATGCTCATCAGGCACATGATCCCTGGTGGGATGGAAACGGCCACCTTAGGGACAGGGGGACAAGAAGGGACAGTGACACTGGGGACACCTTGCAACCTGGGTGAGCTGTACCCTTGGGGATGACACGTCCGTCATGCAGGGCGATGTCCCTGGTGCAGCGCCGGGACACGGCGGTGACGGGGGGATGCAGGCGAAGGCTCTCCTTGATGCACATGGTGGTGAAGGGCAGGTGGGACAGGTCCTCCCTGGGGGCGAGGGATGGTGGCATCGGGGTCCTCAAGCCAGGTGGCCGAGGGATGACACCGGGGACCTCTCACCATTTGATCTCCTCCGCGTCCCTGCCCTTGAGGAGCTCGCGGACCTCCTGGCGGCACTGCTCCTGGTAGTGGGGGTGGCAGGCCAGGTTGTAGAGCAGCCATGCCAAGCCGCTGGCCGTCGTGTCGTGGCCTGCGGAGACAAGGGGTGAGCGAGGGGACATGTGAGTGACCCCTCTCCGATGGCACCCAGTGGCTTGCGCTCACCCTCGAACATGAAGGTGTCAGCCTCGGCCGCGATGTCCTCATCCGACAGGGTGTTGCCATCCTCGTCCTGCAAGGAGGAGCGTGGTAGCCAAGAGGCCCCCCGGGGCCACCAGTCTATAGCCAACCCTCCCACTAGCCACCACCATGCTGCTATGACCACCACCCTATGGCCAAACTTTTCCATGGCTGCCACCATCCCCTTGGCCACCATTATGCCGCTATGTCCACTGCCCTATGGCCAACCTTTTCCACGGCCATCACCATCCCCTTGGCCACCACCCTATGGCCAACCGTGCCCATGGTCACACCACCTCACCCCAGCACTACCTTAGCAAGCAGGAGAAGGTCAAGGAAGTCCATGCTCTGTCCCCGGTGGTCCTCCAGCCAGGCCTGGCGGCCGAGGCGGTTGAGAGCCTGGCGCCGGCGCTGCACCACGGCAGCGGTGAAGCTGTGCACGGTGGCACAGGCCCGGGCAAAACGCCGCCCGTCAGCCGAGAGGCGGTAGAGCCACGTTGAGTGATGGAGCAGGCGGTGATGGCGTCTCACCACCAAGGTGCTCAGCTCCAGGATGGCTTTGATGTACTCGCTGGGCTGCCTGGGGGGCATCGGGGACCACTGGGGACGGCCACCATGCGCCACCGGAGATGGCCCCCCCCCCCGGCTGTGGCGAGCTTCAGTGGGGACATGGGGTGGCAGAAGGTCCCCTGCCCATGAGAACATGTGGGACCAGGCTGGGGTGACAGCGGGGGGGACCCAGAGACCTGGGGAGGACACCCTGATGGGGGGGGGTAAAAGTGGAATAAGGGGGGACCCAAGGGGGGACGGAGTTGGGGTGGGGGGACCCTGAGAGGGACAATGTTGGGATGGTGGGACCTTGATGGGTGCCAAGCCCAAGGGGAACCCCAGTTGGGGAGCAAACCAGGGCAGGGGGGACCCGAGCCGGGGTAAGGGGTGTCCCTTGTGGAAGGACCCTGGGAAGGGGGGACGGGGACGGTGCTGGGGTCCCTGGCAGGTGACAGGGTGACACTCACTCCTGGCAGTGGCTCTCGTGGCTGAAGATGCATTTCTGGAGGGTGTCCAGGGTGAGGAGGCTGAGCTGCTCCAGCACCTCCAGCCCCACCTGCCCTCCTGCTGCCTGCGCTGCTGCCCGCCACTTGGCCTGCAGGCAGGGGTGGGGGTCTGGGTGCTGGTCGGAGGTTGGGTGCAGGTTGGGGTTTGGGTGCAGGACAAGGGTCTGGGTGCAGTTTGGGATCTGGGTGCAGGCAATGGGTGCAGGATGGGGTCTGGATGTGGGGTGGGTTCCAGGTGCAGGACAAGGTCTGGGTGCAGGACAAGGTTTAGGTGCAGGTTGGGGTCTAGGTGCAGGGCAGGGGTCTGGGTGCAGGACAGGATCTGGGTGCAGGACAAGGGTTTGGGTGCAGGACAAGGGTCTGGATGTGGGACGGGTTCCAGGTGCTGGACAAGGTCTGGGTGCAGGCAGCGGGTGTTGGTTGGGGTTTGGGTGCAGGACAGAGTCTGGGTGGAGGACAGGATCTGGTTGCAGGACAAGGTCTGGGTGCAGGACAGGGCTCTGGGTGCAGGCAGCGGGTTCTCACATGCATGACGTGGGTGCTGTGGTTGAAGGCACCCACGTAGGACTTGAGGACGTCCCAGTGGAAGGCGGGTGTCAGCAGGCGCCGGTGCCGAGCCCACTTCTGCCCGCAGCTCAGCAGCAGCCCGTCCCCTGCGGTGAGACACCCGGCTCCGTCCGTGGGGCACCCGTGGGTGCTGCCTCCCCTGTCCCGCCACCCCTGAGCACCCACTCACCCAGCCAGGGCTTGAGGAAGCCGTAGAAGAGCTGATCCTTGGGAGCAATGAAGGCTGCGGAAGAGGGGAGCCGGGGCTGGTGAGGGGTGCCACCAGGGTGGCATCGGGTCCCCTCAGGGGCTTGCAAGGTGGGTGGGGTCCCTAGGGAGAGGGGACCCTCTGTCCGCACCCATAACCACCACAGGATGGGGTTTGGGGTAAAACCAGGCCACCGGGCTGGCCATGGGTCACACCTCTGGGTGGCCCTGGGGACCCTCAGGGAGAGCTTGGTGGCCACCATGGCATGGGCATTTGGGGACTCACTGGTTGGCCATGGGTTGCAACTTTGGGTGGTCCTGGGGACCCTCAGGGACAGGTTGGTGGCCACTATGTGGTGGCATTTGAGCTGGCCATGGGTCACACCTCTGGGTGGCCCTGGGGACTCTCAGGGACAAGTTGGTGGCCACCACAGCATGGGCGTTTGGGCACTCACTGGGCTAGCCAAGGGTAACACCTCTGGGTGGCTCCGAAGACCCTTGGGGTTGGGTTGGTGGCCACCATCAGATGGGTGCCTGGACACGTCCAGGTCACTGGGCAAGCCACAGTGACACCTCTGGGTGACCCTGGGGACCCTCAGGGCTGGGTTGGTGGCCCTCGTGTCCGACCTGAGGCCAGGAGGATGGGGCGGAGGGTGTCAGGGTGGAAGAGGCGTAGGATGGGCATCCATGGCGAGATCCACCACAGGCAGCTGTGCCGGTACTGTGCCACCAGCTCGTCCACATGCTGCAGTCCCTCCTCCGTGCTCTTCCCCTGCGTCATGGGCCACCGCAAGGCTTGGTGACAGGCTTGGGGACACCCTTGTCCCCATGGTCACGGCCAACCTTGGGGACATGCTTGTCCCCAGCTTGCAGCCAGCCTTGGGGACGGTCTCAGCTTGGGTTCCTAGGTGGTCTTGGAGACACCCAGATCTCATGTGCCAGCGCTGTGTCCCTGCTGTCACCCCCCCCCGAAGGTGCCACCACCC